GACTCGTTATTTTCTACTCAAAGCATCAAAATGACAAAAAAAGAAAAAAAAAATACTTTCAAGCACGTTATACTTTTGAAAAATTTTACAATATTGAATTTATCTATTCAATATTATTTTCAACAGCTGTTTTTCAAGAACGTAAATTATTGTAAGCTTTGTTATGTTACAGTCATGTTGTAATTTTTTGAAGCTTTCAAGAAAATACATCAACGTGTATTCAAAGAAACTTGGAAGTTGTGTGGTTCTTAATTCAAATGAGAAAATGTACTGTGTCAAATTGAACAACCAAATTATCATAGGAGAAATTGTAGCGTTAGTCCAAATCTGATGAGCCATTTAGCAAATAGGTCCTCATTCTATTTCTTTTAGCATTTACATTTTCGATGTACCATTTCTGATGCGCCATAGTTCATAATTCACGAAATCCATTTAATTAACAGTTAATTTTTGCAATACCGCCTACCTATTGAGGCACTCATGAAATTTGTAACAATCGTTACAATCCCGACATTCTTAACATCATTTCAAACTTTTACTGCTAAAATCATTTTATTCGTTCGTTGTCGTTTATTTGACCAGTAAAAAAATAATATTTTGACTGAAAAAATTAAATTCTAACTTTACTTAAAATAATACAAAAACAAAAACTAAATAGGAAAAAAATAGAAAAAAAGACTTCACGACAATTATATATCTAGAAAAAAGACTTCATACTAATTTTCTATTTTTCCTTTATTATTATTATTATTATTATTATTATTATTATTATTATATTCTATTTTATTTTTTGGGATTGGTTGTGTGAATAATTCACAATGGCTCATCAGGGCACTCACCTGGTCAGCCCCACCATGTATTTTTTTTAAAAAAAAATTATGCACGGGCTCTACCTATGTGAGTGCACTATAATTATATTCAATCTCACTCACAACAGACCCCTCCCTCATAGTCCACTATCCAGCTAATCATATTCTTCAATCAATATATATTATTCTTTCGGACATTGTGTGAAAGTACTTGAAATTTATTTGGCAAGGCTTTTTTATTTTTATTTCTACTTTTCGTAGAAGAACTTTCACCTTAATTAGTGTTTTAAAATTAATTTTTTAAAAAGGCTTCTCTTCCAAAAGAGTTTTTAGAGAAAGTCGCACTTTGAACTAACTTTCTCTAAAATATCTTGCAAATAGAAATTTTTTTACAAAATAAATAAAATAAGTCAAAAAATAAACTCACTTTGACTTCTCAAAAGACCTGTAGAATTGACCCTTAGTATTTATGTAGCCCTCTTATTACGATTTACGAGTAAGCACTAACCTTTTATTTCCAATAAATTTCTTCTCTGTTCGATAATCTAGAAATTTAGTTCTTATGATTAATGGTACCATTGCACGTTAGTCCAATTTCATGTTATCCTCTTCTTCACGATAAATTATTGGAATATTTGTTAGAAACTAAAACAGGAATTAGCTAAAAGTCTATAGGTTAAAGACAATGTTGGAAATTATTCCTTTATAGATTTC